GTAAAGTAGAGGGTCAGTGAAAAAGAGGAAGACCCTCAATGAGATGGATTGACACAGTGGCTGCAACAATGGGCTCAAGCATAACAACGAATGTGAGGATGGCCAGGACTGGGCAGTTTCATTTTGTTGTACACAGGGTCACTATGAGTTGGAACCAATTCCAAGACACCCAACAATAACAGGTCCTTATCAGATATGTGGTTTGCAAATATTTTCTACCATTCTATTTGACACATTCTATGCATTGTCTTTTCACTTTCTTGGTGGTGTACTTAGAAACACAAACATTTTTAATTTTTACTAAGTGCAATTTGTCTGTTTTTTCTTTTGTCACATGTGCTTTTGGTGCTTTTAGCAATCATTGCCAAATTCAGTGTCACAAAGATTTTCACCTCTATTTTCTTCTAAGAATTTTATATTTTCAACTCTTACATTTGGATCATTGATGTATTTCAAGTTCACTTTTGTGAATGGTGAGAAGTAGAGTCCACCTTCATTTAACATTTGTTGAAAAGACCATTCTTTCCCTGTTGAATTGGCCTGGTATCTTGTAAAAAACCAACTGGCCATAAATTGATGATAAATTTACTCTCCATTTTTTCCCATTGATCTACATATTTATCCTTATTCTACTACCACAATGTCTGGATTACTGTAGATTTAAAATCAGGAAGGGTGAGTCATCCAATTTTGTTCTTCCTTTTTAAAGGTTGTTTTGACCACCTTGGATCTCTAGTATTTTCATATGAATTTTAGTATCACCTTGACAATTTCTTCAATAAAAGCAGTTGAAAAGTTGATAAGGGCTGCACTAAATCTGTAGATTAATTTGGAGGGTAATGTCATTTTAATAGTATTAAGTCTTCCAATTCATAAACATGAGATGTCTTTCCATTTACTTAGGTCTTCTTTAAATTATTTCAGCAGTGTTTTGTAGTTTCAGTGTGCTAGTCTTGCATTTCTTCTGTTAAATTTATTCCTAATAAATGGAATTTTAAATTGTTTAATATTATTTTTGGATTGTTCATTGCAAATGTGTAGAACTACATTACAAAAAATCACTACAATTTATTTTTGATAATGATCTTGCATCCTTCAGGCTTGCTGAACTTGTTTATTAGTTCTAGCACGTTTGTGAGTGTGTTTGTGAGTGTGCGTAAATTTTCTAAATATAAGATCATGCCATCTGCAAATATAGTTTTACTTCTTCCCAGTCTGGATGTCTTTTATTTATTTATTTTTCTTGCCTAATTGCCCTGGCTGGAGCCGTAAGTACAAAATTGAATTGTAATGGTAAAAGAAAACATCTTTGTCTCATTCTTGATCTTAGGGGCAAAGCATTCAGTCTTTCACCATTAAGTATGATGTCAGCTATGGGTGTTTAGGAAGTTTCTTCCTATTCCTAGTGTATTGAGTGGATAGTTTTTAATCATGAAAGGGTGTGAAATTTTGTCAAATGCTTTTTCTGCATGTATTGAGATGACCATGTGTTTTTTTGTTTTTTATTCTATTAATACGGTGTATTACATTGGTTGATTTTTGTATGTTGAACGACTTTGCATTGCTGGAATAAATCCCACTCGGTGGTGGTGCATAAGCCTTTTTATATGTTTCTGGATTTGGTTTATTAGTATTTTGCTAAGAGTTTTTGCATCGATATTTAAAGGGCAGAATGGTTTGTAGTTTTCTTTTCTTGTGATTACTTTTCTGGTTTTGGTATCAGGGTAATACTGGCCTAATAGAATGAATTGGAAAGTGGTCTTTCCTCTTCTATTTTGAAGAGTTTGTGAAAGACTGATGGGTGTCAATTCTTTAAATGTTTGGTGGAATTCACCAGTGAAGCCATCTGGGACTAAGGTTTGCTTTGTGGGAAGTTTTTTTTTTTTTTTTTAAATGGTAGAAGGTTGACTTATGGATTTGAAATCTTTGTCTTTAATGAGGTCCCTGAATAGTGCAAACGGTTTGTGCTTGACTACTAACCTAAAGGTTGGTGGTTTGAACCCACCCAGTGGTGCCACAGAAGAAAGGGTTTGTGATCTGCTTCTGTAAAGATTACAGTCAAGAAAACCCTATACAGCAATTCTACTCTGTAGAATTCACGGGGTGGCCATGAGTCAGAATCGACTCAGCAACAACGGGTTTGGTTTTCGTTTTTAACGTAGGCATTTACAGCATTAAATTTCCTTCTAAGTACTGCTTTTGTTGCACTCCGTAAGTTTTGGCATGATGTGTTTTCATTTTTGTTCATCTCAAAGTTATTCTCTAAAGTCCCTTTTGAACTCTAATCAATTGATTATTTAGGAATGTGCTTAATTTCTACATGTGTGTAAATTTCCCAAATTTCTTTCTGTTATGCTTTTTAATTTCATTCCATTGTGGTGGGAAAACATACTTCGTATGATTTCAATCCTTTTAAATTTAGTGAGTTGTTTTGTGATCTAGCATATGGTGTATCCTGGAGAACGATCCATGTGTACTGGAGAAGGATGCACATGCTGCTCTTGTTGACTAGAGTGTTCTATGTATGTCTGTTAGGTCTAGTTGATTTACCGTATTGTTTGAATCCTTTATTTTCTTTCTGATCTTCTGTATAGCTCTTCTAACTATTACTGAGAGTGAAACATGAAGGTCTCCAACTATTATTGTTGAATTGTCTATTTCTCACTTCAATTTTGTCAGGTTTTGCTTCATAAGTTTTAGTACTTGTTGTTAGACACATACATACTTACAATAGGTATGTGTTCTTGATGGAGTAACTCTTATTATTATAACATGATAATATTTTTTATATTTTATATCTATTTCTCTGATAATATTTTATCTTACAGTATATTTTGTCTAATATTAGAATAACCACTCCAACCCTCATTTAGTTACTGTTTGCATGCATATCTCTTTCCGTCTTTTTATTTTCAATCCATTTGTGTCTTTGAATCTGAAGTGTGTCCCTTGTGACAGCATATAGTTGGGTCATGCTTTTTCAATCCATTCTTCCAATCTTGTCCTTTTGGTTACAGAGTTTAATCCATTTACATTTAATGTAATTCCGATGAGGTAGGATTTACGTCTGCCATTTTTCTATTTGTTTTCTATACACCTTGTCTTTATTCCCCTGTATTCCTCTATTACTGCCTTCTTTTGTGTTAAAAAGTATTTTAACACATTTTTATTCTTTTGTCATTTTTTTTACTATATATATTTTTAAAGTAATATTCTTAGTGCTACCCTGTAGATTACAATTAATTTCTTAATTTATAACAATCTAGATTGGATTAATACCAACTTAATTTCAATAGTACACAAAACATTGCTCCTACTTAGGTCCATTCCATCTCACCTATGTTGTCCTATTAGTGTCATAAAAATTTTATCTTTATACATTATAATCACATCAACACATTTTTATAACTGTTGCTTTATACAGTTGTCTTTTAAGTAAAAAAGAAAAGAGAAAGGGGAAGCGACATCACATGAAATGACAGAGTAGGAAGCTCTAGAGGTCAGTTCCTCCATCAAAATAACTTCACTAGAAACAGCAATTAGAACCAACTATTTTGGAACTCTGGAGCTTAAATGGACACTTAAATCAACTAGGAGAGTGCCTCATGAAGGGATAGGATGCTTTTTCTTCTAGGAAGTTTACCTGGAAACATCTAAATTGAAGCCTACAGGCTTAATCTGGCAAAAAATAGGAATGACCCATATCCTTTACTAGGATATATAGCCAGTTAGAAAACAAAATTCCAAGATTTGACAAAATTGTACTGCTCAGGGTTTACTATAAAGTTTGCCTCTTTCAACTGATAAATAACATACCAAGCAGAGGATAAGCCACTTTGCATTACGACAAGACATTTGTTTATGGTACTGTTAATAAAGACAAGAGCTCTTGAAATCCTTTTCTGTAGTATTGTTATAAATGATTTTTTTACAATTCTATATCTTCCTCAAAGGAATCACTTAGGCTAAATCAGACTCATATAGAAGAGTAGTCAGAAAGCTTGTTCCAGCATGTGTTTGTTTTTATGATTCGAAATTCCTTTGCCCTTATAGTTGGAATCATTAAAGTTTGGTGGAACCTTAAAAATAAGGCAAAGGAAGTCTCATCACAGAATCTTAGGAGATTTTAATGATGTCTGATAGAACACATGGGGCTAGGATATGGATGCTTCCAACCTAGCTAAAAAATGGACATTCTGAAAGCTAAATTTAAAAAAATAGCACCTCCTTCTGGGTGGTGCAAATTCTTAACATGCTTAGCTGTTAACCAAAAGGTTGGGGGTTCACGTCTACTCAAAGGCACCTTGGAAGAAAGGCCTGGTGATCTACTTCCATAAATCAGCCACTGAAAACCCTGTGGAGCACAGTTCCACTCTGACACACATAAGTTCGCCATGAGTCAGAATTGACGTGATGGCAACTGTTTGCTTTTTTTTTGGTTCTCCAACTGCAACATTTCACAGTCATCTCTCAATTTCAGCATCTTCCTTGCCTTATAACAATCTAATTAGATAAAGAGGGATTAGAATAACATTATTTGGAGAGATAGGAGAAATAAACTGGCTTCAGCAACTTTCACAGTAAGAAATGTTTGTTAATGAGGTTTTCGTTTATCATCTTTTGGCTCTGAACTCTCAGTATCTTGTGACATTGAGTGTGACATCTTGGTCTTTGCTTCCCTTCTCCAGCAAGTGGAAAGGCAAAGGCAAATCCTTCCAAGGCTCAAGGGACTGCAGGCTGACACTGGGTGATTGTCTTTAATAGGGAAGTACAGGATGGTAGAGGGAGGTGCGGGTAGTGCTCCTCTCCCTCCTTCCAAGGACAAAGCTTTGCTTCAGCTAGGCAAGCTGAGCTGCCCTGCCAGGATCACAAGGACCAGATGCTCCCTCCCACCTCTCTATTCACCCTGGGGGATTAGGTAGAGTGGGAATGGACTGGACAGTAAGAATGAGGATAGAGATGGCAAGAGATGAAGCTGGTCTGGTAGGCATGAGCCAGGTTATGAAAGTGCTTGTAACACCCACAGTGGCTAGCATATAAGGAATCCTCTGCAAATATGTTTTGGTTTATAACTTTGATTCAAAACTATCAAAGCCTTTATAAAACAAGCAGGGTGTGTTTTTTCTGAAATGACGTGTCATAAGAGGCTTAATAGATAAAAAGAGAATGACAAGAGAAGTGTATTTTAAGATCAGGTGAGAAAAAGGAATAACAGCTGTCTACATTGCAGGGTTTTCCACTGCCCTGAAAGACGGGCTTTCTTAGCAGGTTGGATACTTATCTTTGGCGCTCCTCATTTTTCTCCTACACCTACCTGGTATGTTCCCTGTGGCTTTGCAATAACAGACGTTCCATCCCCAAAGGTGGCACAGCAGCTACTGTCCTCGCAGTTGGTGATAACAGTGGCATAGTGTGAGCTCTCTATCCGCATGCACTTCACCTGCCTGGTGACAGTCCGAAGACCTTCAGCTATGAGCAAATGCAAGGTTAGCAGATGTGCTAGGAGGCGTACCCTAGGAAATAGGTCTCAGCTTGCTGATTCTGCGGCTGTCTCCTGGCTGGCTGGATCTCCCGTGGAAACAACACAATTGGAAAGTAGAGACCAAGTGCTGAGAATGCCACAGGGTTAGAGTGTGGCCTACACTTCTCAGCATTTTAGAAGAAGTCTTCAGACTTAATTTAGTGTACTGTTTAGTTCTCACTACTTTCTCTATTTTGAGAAATTTAAAACATTCAGAAAAACATAAAATATAATTTAACCACTCATGTATCCATCAATCAAAATTTACACTTGTTAATATTTTGCCATATTTCCTTCAAAAATTTCAACATGTATATGAGAAAAAAATTACAGATAAACTTGAAATTCACTTTTATCCTTATCTTTGGGTTTATTCTCCTCTCTTGCAACCCATTTTTATCTTTTATAAAATATATGTGGCAGATATTTTAAGTGTGCTTTAAATTCACATAAATTATGTATTTACGTATCATTCAACACCTGCTTTTTTCACTTAACAATGTTTTGAGATCTCTAGTCATCTTGGCAGGCACTCTGGTTGTACGTAGTTAAGTGCTTGGCCGCTAACCAAAAGGTTCGAACTGACCAGCCACTCTGCGGGAGAAAGATGTGGCAGTATGCTTCTGTGAAGATTATAGCCTATGGGGCAGTTCTACTTTGTCCTATGGGGTCGTTATAAGTCGGAATCAACTTGACGGCAATGGATTTGGAGCCATCTTGATGTATGTTGTTTGTATATATGTGTGTGTGCGTATTTCATTCCTTTCAACTGCTATATAGTATTCCTTTGTAAGAGTATACTACATTTTATTTTTCTATTCTGCCATTGATGAACATTTACATTTTTCCAATATCTGAATTTAATACCTGGTACCTCAAGGAACACCCCTGTATTTGTTTATTTGTGCAAATACCATATTTGTACGCAAATAAAGCACACATTATACTTTTTTGCCAACTACGCCCTCCCTCCACGAGGTATTTTCATAAGCATACTATGAAAATAAAATAAAAAGCATACTTATGAAAATACTATGCTTATGAAAATACCTCACCGGGGGAGGGTGCAGCTGACAAAAAAAAGTATAACACACATGTTATTTGTGTAAAAATATGGTATGTAAGAGTGTCTCTATACATATACTCAGAAGTAAGGTTAAGTGTATCATATGGCATGCACATTTTCAATCTACTAGATATTTTTAAATTGCCCTTCAAAATGGCTCTTTTAATTTTCACTCTAGCCAGTAGTGTGTGAAGGTTCCCCTTTTTCTACTAATTTTCCAACTTTGTTGCACTTAATTTGGAAATGAAGCATTTAATGCACTAAACAAACTCTGGCATTAAAGAAAACGGAGTCAAGGGAATACTTTTTCTCTAAAAATCTTGTTTAAATTTAGGTTTGGAAGGACAGAAGGCTTTTAGATTCTTTAAGCAGGTTCCAGTTAGTTAGCAGCTGCAGCTTTCTTTTCACTCACACAATCTGTCTATGAGAAGCATGCTCAGGCTTAAAGGAAGACCTATAGGTGGTCACCTATTTATGCAAATTAGATGCCTTAAGGATCAAAAGAAACAAGTCTGAGAGCTGGTGTCCAGGACAGTTAAGGCACAAGTATTAGCTTTTAATCACCATCAGTCTTGATTATAGAACTTTAGTGGTGAAAATGTGAAAGGCGCTATTACTGTCCATCAGCCAATTAGAGCTATTATCACTCCTGTCTCTATTGATGATAAAGACCATAATAAAAGGTCCTCCTAGGCCCTGCTTTGGATTGCATAAATGCCATTTGATTAACCAACTTCATCAAAAAATTATTTTTCTTATATGTGCATTCAACAATAGTGAGAATTCTACCTATCTTAAAGAGTTATAAAATATTGCCATATACTTGAAAAATTAAACTTACTTGTTTCTTGATCATCTGGAGGAATATGATCTTCATAAACTTGATAAAATGTTGTGATTCTGGTGCCATCAGCATGATCCACTATCCGAGTACCATCTTTCTTTTCAACAATGACCACTTTGTCTTCTCGAGTTGTCATAACCTAAATGTATGAAGGTAGAGCATCATCATTTGGACAGGTGGTTAGTACCAAGTGCGCTTACTTTTGTGCCCTATTTAAGACAAAGATGGTACCATCAAAATCTTATTTACAAATGAAAGTTTTATCTCACAGACCTAGTCCAATCCTTGCAAGAAGCCTAGGAAGCAAGAAATGGCATTTCTGTTTTGCAGATAAGAAAATTTAGGCTTAGAGATGTTAAGAAACTTGCTCAAGGTCACTCAACAAGTAAGTGCCAGGCTGGTATTTGGATTAAGGGCTGACTGACTTCAAAGCTGGTGCTCCTTCTACTTTAGCATATTTGTGAGTAAAAAGTTAGCAACAGGACTGGGCTGATCCAGGTCTGTCTGGAGAAATGACCATAGGTCGCATTTCCTTGGAAGCTATGGGGTTAAGATAAATGTGGCATCTTGCCTTCTGTAAAGCCCCTGATCTGTAGGACTGACCTGGATGGGGAGAACTGTGGATTGACTTGCCAGTCTTGGACCTAATGTCATCAAAATAGTATATCATGGATTGATTTGTTCACCCCTAAATATAAATAATATCATAATTATAATATAATAGATTGGGGAGGACTTTAATCCATATTAAGGACTTTGGATTTTATCCTAAAAGGGAAAAAAGCACTATGAAGAGTTTTAAGTATATGGGCTACAGTAGGAATCACAGAAAAATTTCAGTTAGTTCTGGCAAGTGCTCCAATCTGAAAGAACAATCAGACAGGCCTTTAAACACTGTAGCTAAATCATTGACTATATGGAGCTCTAAATCCCCAGGTGTGTGTATACGTGGCAGACACAGAGACATGCAACTCAGATTCCACTTCAAGAAAGGACTTGTGGGGAGCACAGTCAGCCAACAACCTCCAGTGCCAGCATTTTCAGCATCTGCCTTAGCTGCAGAGAGCCCTTCACTGGACTCGCATCCTTCCCAGAGTTATCTAGTGACTGAGTGAGGCAGAGGTGGAGGGGCCTGACTTCAACCAGACTTGGGGCATTGGAACAGGTAATACTTGCTTCTGAGTCCCCTGCAGGGTCTCTGAGGCTTTGTTGGGTCTGTGCCACAGTTCAGCTTCTTCCTCTGCCCATTCTGGCCTTCTCTTCTTGCTTTCACAGATGGTGATCCCTAATAAATACCTTTCACCCCAAAGTCCACCTCAGAGTTTGCTTCTGGAGAGCACAACCTGCAGCCATATAATGCATACTCAAACACACTGGACATTTTCTAAACTAGTACTGTCCTAAGGGAGCCCTGGTGGCACAGTGGTTGAGAGCTCAGCTGCTGGCCAAGAGGTCAGCAGTTTGAATTCACCAGCCACTCCTTGGAAACCCTATGGGGCAGTTCTACTCTGTCATATGGGGTCGCTATGAGTTGAAATCAAATCAATGGCAATGGGTTTTTTTGGTTTTACTGTCCTGAGGGACACAATGTTTCACTGTAGAGCCTAGATGGATGTGAGGGTGAGTGACTTTCATATAACATGTTAGAGGAATAGCAGTTTTCGCTCTTCTTTTGACTCAAATATCTTGAGGTATTGGGAGCAGGTGATAAATAATGACTTTATCTCTGTAAGGTAGGCAGGAATCACTATTTAAGAGAGAAATGCAAGCTGATCCTTATCTAGGTCCTTAATATTGGCGCTATCAGCCAGGTGGGTATAACGAGAAACACTGCTGTGTGATGTGATGGTTCAGAGCAGAGCTCTGGAGTAAGGCTGCCTGAGTTCAAATCCTGGCTCCATGAATGACTTTGGTAAGTTACTTAACCTGTCTGTGCTCTAGTTTCCTCATCTGCAAAACGTGGCCAGCAACAGTATCTTCTTCTCTTAGGACTTAGTAGGTCATCAAGTTAGCAATTAGTTAACACTAGCTCTTCATCTACCATAGATATTTATAGATTCTTATTTTAGAATTATTCGAACATTTCATAACACCTTGGCATCTTCTAGCCACCACAGGGTGAGATAATCACTATTATTCTTAGTAATTGTAGTAACACAATAACAAGTTTACTGAACACCTGATGGTGCTGGGACTGGTACATATTAATTTTCCCAACCATTTCAGGTAATCATGAGTACCTCCATTATATGAGTAAGAAAACCTAGATTAGAAAGCTGTCCTAAATCATATGTCTAAAAAGGAGAATGACTGGGGCTCAAACCAGGTCTGCCTCACCCCAAGGATGGTGCCTACTCCTCTAAAATGTGCTATTTCTTGTCAGGTGCTGGGAAAAAAACACATCAATTTTCAATTTTGTCTCCTATGGTAATGTCAGTCTCTTGGTCCTGTTTTCATGGTGGTTAAGCACACGGGATCTGAAACGCAGCCTGCCAAGGTCCACATTCTGACTACTACTAGCTGTGTGATCTTGGGCAAGTTACTTAACCTTCTCTGAAGCTTAGCTGCCTCACCTGTAAAATGGAAATACCAAATTTTTTTTTTGTGTGTGTGAGAATTAAATGAGTTAGTATGTGGAAAACACTGAGAACAGGGTCTGGCACCTAGTGAGTGCTCAGTAAATACTATTATTATTATTATTATGTTGGTGCTTGGTGTTTAATTCATGCTGGAGTACAGACTCTTGGATGTTGCCTCATGCTTGCATAATGGTGGTAGAGATTAATAAGAAAAATTAAGAATCATTAACTATTAAATGTTAATAAAATTTTTATCTTAAGTCAAACAATTTACATCAGGCACTGAAATTTAGGTGACTTATTTAAAGTGACCAAAAACAAACATACAAAAATCCAGTTTCCTGATATGATATGTACTTGGAGTCTCACAGAAAAGACAACTAGCAAACAAGGTAAGAAATTATTAAATTACTTCAGAAGCAGGCTGAGGAAGAAAGGAAATCATATTTGATTGGAAGATATAATTTATCTCAATAGCAAGCAGATATTTGGCCTTTGACCAGCAGCACATGGTTATAAACAATGGTAGGAAGTCCAGAAGTCAGATTAGGCACCTGAAGAAATTCTGCATCTTGTTTAGATCCAGAATGTGCTGGGAGGCTTCATATATAATATTAGAGAAATAACCAAGGAATGGGAAGAGCTTAGTTTTTGATCACCAACAACTAGTTCTAATTCTGGCTGTAGCATTTCCTACATGTCTACTCTTGACCATATTACTTAACTTGCTGAGGCTCAGTTTCCTCATCTGTGTAATAATATCTACTGATGTAAGGACTGAATAAGATAATGTATGCAAATTTCCTAACAGAAAGCCTGGCACATAGAAGTTTTGATTAGCTATCATAATCAAAATCTTTTTTTTTCCATACCACTCATTTGCCACTTATTCTTATGCTACAAATAAAATCTTTTGTACAGCTGCTCTGTGGTATTGAATTCTTGAGTTATTTAATTTGAGCATGTCTTATCTCCTTCCATATACCATAAGTTTCTTGAAGTCAAGGATCATGAACACATTTCTATTACTCACTGCAGTGAACACAAAAAAGTAGGAATAAGGCACAGCCTTCTAGAAGACATGATGTATACACAAATATATTCAACGTAAGGAAATACATGACATCATTAATCATATATGTCTTAAAACTGGTATAGAATATTCATTACCTGCCTCTTACTTTAAGAATTTTTGGATACACTGTCTGGAGCAAGGGAGAATGAAAAAAAATCAGACACAAGGGAAAGATTAGTCCAAAGGACTAATGGGCCACAACTACCACAGCCTCCACCAGACTGAATCCAGCACAACTAGATGGTGCTTGGCTACTACCACCAACTGCTCTGACAGGGATCACAATAGAGGATCTCGGAGAGAGTGGGAGAAAAATGTAGAACAAAATTTAAACTCACAAAAAAAGACCAGACTTACTGGTCTGAAGAAGACTGGAGAAACTGGACATCCTTTTAACTCAGTACTGAAGTCACTCCTGAGGTTCCTCTTTCAGCCAACAATTAGACAGGCCCATAAAACAAACAATTATCCATGCAGCTCAACCACATATAGGAGAACTAAATGGGCACACCAGCCCAGGGGCAAGGACGAGAAGGCAGGAAGGGACACGAAAGCTGGACGAATGGAAATGGGGAACCCAAGATCGAGAAGGGAAGAGTGTGGACACGTCGTGGGGTTGGCAACCAATGTCACAAAACAATATGAGTATTAATTGTTTAATGAGAAACTAATTTGTTCTGTAAACCTTTATCTAAAGCACACACACACACACACGCACACACACACACAAAAGAATTATGATACACTATGTTGGTCAAATAAGCCACATGATGTTTTAAGATTTGGGAAGATGAATCCATTCATCCATCTATCCATCCATCCGTTACTTAACAAATATTTATTGAAAATTTATTGTTTGTCGGGCACTTTCTATGTGATGTTTCAGGACTCTAATGATTTAAAAAATTTTGCAATAATAAAATAGTTTGCCGTACCGTTCCATTGACAGGATCTGTGGCCTTAAAGGATAAAAGTGGGGTCAAGTCTGTTATTCTTTCTAATCCTTTGGTGCCAATCCGATTTCCTTCAGGTGTGGTTGTAAACCAGGTGCCTACGTGAACCTCCACAGGAGTTACCGTTTGAACTATCTCTGGGGGAGGTTCATGGATTTCATTCTTATGTGCCACTGATGACTGATTTTTGTGACCTTTTCCTGTGGAAGTTCAAGTAAAATCAAACACAACAATATGACTTTAACATCAATTATATAAATCATTCATTAAAATTTTGATACAGTGTATACTACCTCAGATGCTATGGCATAGACAATACTAAGAGGTATTTCATCAATTAAATTATTTCTCAACAAGGAAAACTATCAGGTTATGATCTTAATATTGGCTGGATTCCTGCCATACACCCTAACCCCCAAAGCATACATACACATACACACTGTCTCTAGCACAACAATATCTATTCTGATCAATTTCTGTATACTTCTGAGTCTTGCTCATGTCTCTCTGGATCTTAGATTTTGGGTTCTGTACCCTGGTTTTTAAAGTTTACTTTTCCCCCAAATAGCTGACAAACATTCATACTTTCTCTTTTGACTTAATGGACTCTGGAATTTTACTAGATTTTTAACTCTTCATTCCCCTGATTTTCTCATTTTGTTAGCCATAGATAGGAAACATCTTCCTTCATTCTTGTATCTGGAGAACCTTACCAGCCAGGCATATCTATAACCTGTCACTAGGGGAGAGGAATTTGTACAATTTAATTACAATTTTGCACCTTTTGATACATCCTCCTCTATCCGTTCCCCATCCCTTTGGAACAGCAAAATGGAACTGAAGATACCTTCATAGAATTCTGTTAACAATATCTCAGTCCTTCTATCAAGGTAGATTTACTACATTTGCATGAATGATGATGAGTAATCTGTAGATGATAATTGCTAGCGTTATCAAATCTCAGTGATGAGGTAAATTCAGACCCAGAACCAAATTGCAAGAAAACACAATAAAAGATTGTTAACTCCAGGAATATTTTCAATTCAGGGCACAGATCTCAGCTTAAGATGCATACTTAACTAATGTGGGGGTGGGGTGGGGGGAGACCAAGGAAGTTTAGCCTGTCCATCTCCCTAAGATTTCATTTAGATCCATTTACATTTCCAGAGCATTGATGGAGAGCAAAAATGGTGTCACTTTCAGAATAAGTAGAGAGAAGATCCTCTAGAATTGGTAGCATATGCTTCAAGAATTATTTCTTTTTCTACTTTCTTCCTTTCCTTTTTATTCCTCTGCTTTGTCTTTCTCTTCTTATTTACTTATTTTTTTCAGGAGAGGTAAGCTATGAAAAGGGCATTCCAGCATATGTAATGGCGCAATAAATAGAATGGGGGTGAGGAATAGCATGGTATTTGCAGACAACTATTTGCAGACCAGTGCAACTGGAGGACAAATTTCAAGCAGATTTTGGTTGAGAGACGAGACTGGAAAGGTAGGCACTGGTTAATTAAGCAGGCCTCTATGGTATGTTAACCTGGACTTTATCCTATAGGTGATATTTAGTAATTAAAGAGTTTTAAGAGGGAGAGTCACATGGTTAGATTAGTCAGATTTTTTGGCAAGAATATGGAGAATTGCTCAGGGAACATCTAGCTCAATTGGCATAACACAGTTTATAAAGACAGTGTTCTACATTCTACCTTGGTGAGTAGCGTCTGGGGTCTTAAAAGCCTATGAGCACACATCTAAGATACTCCACCGGTCTCACCCTTCGGGAGCAAGGGAGACTGAAGAGAACAGGATATAAGGAAAAGATTAGTCCAAAGGACTAACGGACCGTGGCTACCAAGGCCTCCACCAGACTGAGTCCCGTACAGCTAGATGGTGCCCAGCTACTACCACTGACTGCTCTGACCAGGATCACAACAGAGGGTCCTGGACAGAGCTGGAGAAGGATGTAGAAAAAAATTCTAACACACAAAAAAATACCACATTTACTGGCCTGACAGAGACTGGAGAAACCCTGAAAGTATGGCCCCAGGACACCCTTTTAGCTCAGTGATGAAGTCACTCCCGAGGTTCACTGTTCAGCCGGGAACTGGACACCCCATAAAACAAAACAGGACTAATGAAGCACAGCAGTCCAGGGACAAGGACTAGAAGGCAGGAGGGGACAGGAAAGCTGGTGATAGGGAGCCCAAGGTTGAGAAAGGACAGCGTTGACATATTGTGGGGTTGTTAAACATTGTCATAGTGCAATATGTGTACTAACTGTTTGAGAAACTGTTCTGTACTATAAACCCTCATCTAAAGTATATAAAAAAAAAAAAAGAATTATCTCTGTGAGATCAAATTGACAACAGCAACTCAAAAGGTTTGATGGAAAGCCTAGGGGGCAGTCAGTTGAAGATAATGGTGATGGAATAATTTGGAAAAGGATAGTGAGAATAGCAGCACAACTGGAAGAACGTAATCGATGTCACTGAATTGTACATGTAGAAGTTTTTGAAATGGTGTACCTTTGGCTATGTATATTTTCAGCAAAAAAGAAAAAAGGTCCTCCAAGGTTGAGAAGGGAGAGTGTTGACATGTTGTGGGTTTGTTAACCAATGTCATAAAACAATATGTGTACTGACTGTGTAATGAGAAACTATTTGTTCTGTAAACCTTCACCTAAAGTACAATAAAAAAAAAATTTAAAAAAAGAATATGGAGAATTGATAGTAATCAAAGCAAGCAGAACAGTTAGGAGGTTGTTGAAGTAGTAGAAATCAAAGATGGCAGTAAACATGAATAAGTACAGTTTTGGTACAGTGTAGATTGAGGGAAAAATTTGAACATGAAGGGATGAGGATGGATTTGGGAGGTGAAAGAATAGGAGGAAGAATGGGTGACATACAGATATATATTCTGAAATTTTAATCAACTACTGTTTTCAATTACTAAGTACATGGGCCAATAACGCAAAGAGAACTGGTCAAGGATAAGACTAATGGCAAGAGGAAAGAAACAGTTATACCAACATGGCAGACTAGATATTCAGGATTCCAATGAAAATAACTAAAACAATTGGATAACATCTTTTAATAATTTTCTTGAATATATCTATGATCTGGTAACTATGAGTAAGGTCAACTCAAGCTAAGGACTGAGTAAAAGTGAGAACCCCCTAAAGACATAAAAATAGTACTGAAGTTGGCTTCAGCCCTGTGGGTCTTTGTCAAACTGCATGATTTTGAGCATTGGTTTTCTCAGCCTTGTGGAGCTTAGGGAGAGACGAATGCCAGAGCTTGTCCAAGCTGGAGGGGAGTTTAAAAGAAGAGCACTCCAGAAATTTACCACCTTAAAGGGATATACCCTTGGACTAAAGGCAATTATTAATAGAAATAAGCCAGTTCCTTCTCCCACCAGGACTGCCAGAAAAGTTGTCTGTGTTAAAATTTGGTGCTAAGCAAGGAGGGCAAAAAGTCCTTTGAAAATGTACAACCATAAGTGAACCCTTATGTAGATTTGCAGCTAAAATCCACACTGCTTGGGTGGCACCCCTAGAAGTGCCTTAAATTAATAATTTAAAGTAGTCTGAGACTATTGTTTCCCCAAACACCTGCTAAAATCATTTCTGAAACCAATATCCTTTCTGAAGAAACTTACCTTTACACCAGGTCCAAAGAATTTGGAGTTAAAGCACTAAGAAAGAAATGATTATTTCACAGTCAAAAATCACTGAAGACACAGTAAACAAGGAACTTCAAGTGAGAGCCAGCAAAAACCACAGAAAGTGGAATTAGACCCATGTTATTTCAGATATTGGCATTGGCAGACACAGAATATAAAATATGTGTGCTTAATGTGATTCCAGAAATAAAAAGGGGCCTGAAAATATGACTAAAGAGAATAGAATTTGGAAAAATAAAAAAAAGAGGAAAACCTTAGATGTGAAACATGTAATAACTGGATTAAAAAAAAATTAACACGCAGGTTTAGCATGAGATAAAACCCAGTTTAAAGAAGAATTGAAAGACAGAACAAAGAAATTACTTAGATTGAAGCTCAGAGAGTCAAAGAAATAGAAGCAATGAAAGAGAGGTTAAAGAGACTCTAATATATGTTTAATTGGAATTTCAGAAGAAGAGAAGAAATGGATCAGAAACAATATTTGAAGAGATAATGATTGAGAAATTTCCAGAATCAATGAAAGAAACGAATGCACAGATTCAAGAAGCCAAATGTATTCCCACTTAGGTAAATAAAAAAATAATCCACACCTAGTTAAATCATACTGAAATTACAATAAATGAAAGACAAGAAGACTATTTTAAAAGGAGTTTGATTATTTTCAAAGAAGCAACAATTAGACTGACAGCCAACTTTTTAGCAGGAATATTGGAAGCCAGAAGAGTATGGAGGATTATTGTTAATGTACTGAGGGAAAATGTCTGTCAATCTAGAATTCTAGACTCACTGAAATTATTTTTCAACAGTGTGGACAAAATATAGACATTTTCAGAAAAAAAAATATTGAGAGAGTTTGCCTCCAGCAGATCCCACCACTAAAGTAATTTTTCAAAGAATGAACTTCATGCAAAAGGAAGACAAAAGTGCATAAGGAAGGTCTGAGATGTAAGAAGAATTGGAGAGAAAAAGAAACTGACTATGTGGATAAATAATAAAGAAGCATTAACTATACAAAACAAAAATAATATAGTGTTACAAAGTCAAGATTGTAATTAAATGTATGACCATAATAGCATAAAATATAGGAGGGTGCAATTCAAATTAGTTTTCCAAGGTCCAGGATGTTTTTGGAGGAAGATAAAGGGATTGATTAACTAGAAGCTTTGATAGATAAGTATGCATGATAAAATTTCCAGGGAAACACACTAAAAGAATAGAAATATTTGAATATAACCTTTAAACTGAGAGAGAAAAAAAGGAACCAGAAAAAACAATCAATCCAAAAGAAGGTAAGAAAGAAAGAAAATAAAAACAGATCAGTCAGGACACATAGAAAGCAAAAAATAAGATAAGCGTATCCAGATATATCTGTTATTCAATAAATGGATCAGTTAAAAGTCAAAAATTACTAAGTCAATGCTTAAAATATTCACCTATATACTGTTTACATAAACCACAGAAAATAAAATTTAAGTGTGAAAAAATAAATTGGGAAAGTATTAAATGATGGCGGATATAGCTGTAAAGCAAAGATGTCACTTTGGAGACTACAGGATGCCTGACTCAAGCCATGGTATTTTCAATCTCTTCATATGCATGCTAAAGCTGGACAATGCATAAGGAAGACAGAAGAAAAGTTGATGCTTTTGAATTATGGTGTTGGAGAAGAATATTGAATATATCATAGGCTGCCAGAAGAATGAACAAATCTGTCTCGGATGAAATACAGCCAGAATGCTCCTTAGAAGCAAGAATGGTGAGACTATGCCTCATATAACTTGGACATGTTATCAGGAAGGACCAGTCCCTAGAGAAGGACATCATGCCTGGTAAAGTAGAGGTTTAGCAAAAAAGAGGAAGACCCTCAATGAGATGGATTGACAGAGTGGCTACAACAATGGGCTCGAGATTGTGAGGATAGCACAGGACTGGGCAGTGTTTTGTTCTGTTGTACATAGGGTTGCTATAAGTCGGAACCAACTCAACAGCATCTAAAAACAACATAGCTGTAATAGTATAAACAAAATGGATACTAAAACAAACAAAAAAAGAATTCTAAGATAAAAAAGTCATCGCAGAATCATAAAAGGTTAATATCACCATGAAGATACAATGATTCTAAAGTTGTAAGCACCTAAAATCATAGCTTCAAAATATATAAAGAAAATCTGACAGAACTATAAGAAAGGCAGAATCACCTCAGAAATAAAGATTAAATTATGAGGAGCACAGGACTGAACAAACTATTCTATCCTTTTAGCAGGACATTTAAATATATTCTGTTAAATAAACTGATATAGTAGATTTAAAAAATCTGTAAGGATATAGAATAAAACCAGACTGATTGCCATCGTGTCTATCCCGACTCATAGTGACCCCATAGGACAGAGTAGAACTGCCCTGTAGGGTTTCCAGGGCTGTAACTCTTTACAGAAGCAGATTGCCACATCTTTCTCCCACAGAGCAGTTGGTGGGTTTGAACTGCTAACCTTTTAGTTAACAGCCAAGAGCTTTAACCACTGCACTAACAGGGCTCCCTGGACATACAATAGGAGTTGGCAAACTTTGGCCTGTGGGCCAAATATGACCTGCTGTATGTTTTTGTACGGTTTGTGAAGTAATAATGCTTTTTACATTTCTAAATCGTTGAAAAAAAATCAAGTAGAACAATATTTCATGACACATGAAAATCGTATGAAATTCAAAAGTTAGTGTCCATAAACACAGTTTTTTTGGAACACAGCCATGCTCATTTGGTTGCTTTCATGCTGCGACAGCAGAGTTGAATAGTGATGGAGACCATATGGCCCACGAAGTCTGAAATATTTACTATCTTGTCCTTTACAAAAAAGTTTGCTGGACTTGGTATAGAGCTGGACAATACAACCAACAAGTTTGATCTAACAGCTATGAAAACAACAGTGTATCCAGTAACTATAGGAAACATGCTCTTTTTAAGCACATACAGAGCTAAAAAAACTTGACCACATACGAGGCTATAAACCACTTTTCAAAGAATTAGTTAAAAATCAAGTATAAAAACAAACTAGAAACACTCTACAAGTTTGGAAATTTAGAAACAAGTTTAATTAACTCATAGGTCAAAGAGGAAGTCATAAGGAAATTAGAAAATATTTAGAAGTGAAAAATAACGAAAACACTAATATTGAATCTTGTGGGATGGGAGAAGCACTTCCAGAAGGGCAGAGTAAAGGCCTCCAAAAAACCTGATCCTCCATAAATGCAACGGGAATGCTGGAAAAATATAGTCAAAATTAACTCTTTCCAAACTCTGGAAATTAACCAAACAGTTGCAACAATCCAAGGAACTATTCAAGAAAAATGGCTGAATCGCAATAGGAACAGAGGCTTTGTGGTAATATAACTTGCCCTATTCCCATCCCCCCTATTCCTGGTTCTGCAGTCACCTTGAAAACCAACAGCCTCAAAATCCCGGTAACTGTGAAAACCAGCAGCCTAGCAGTCACTGCAGGGTGCACAACAGGCTTGGAGCACTCCCAAGAAGCCCCATTTGCAGAGGATTGTCATTGTTTGACCTGTCTGGCAACTCCCTGGAAACCCTGACTTTGGCCTAACTCAGAACTCTTTGGCCTGACTCAGAACGCTTTGGCCTGACTCAGAACTCAGTGGCTATTTTTTGGAAGTAGATTGCCAGGCCTTTCCTCTGAGACACCCTCTGGGTGGACTCCAACCTCCAATCTTTTGTTTAGCAACACCACCCAGGGACTCAATAATAATGATAATGGACATGTACTTAGCTCTTGAAGACTTTATTAAATCCATTATATATTGAGATGCTTCAATTATTACCCTTCTTGGTGATGACAGTCTCAGATGGTACTGTTTCTGATTTTTGCTGAGAAACCAAGTCCATCAAATCTCCGCTATGAGGGCTTGTTGGCATTTCAGAAGAAGAACAAATAGGACCTGAATCGGGGCTACTGCTCACAGCCCCATCTGCAAAAAGAATCTGAAGGAAAATCAAAATTTCTCAGATTCTCAGAAGCAAGGAAGAGACTGGTTAACATTAAACACCATGTGCCAAACTGAAATGAGTTAAAAATAATCCAAAGGAGAAATAACATTTGCAGGTTCCCAGCCCCAGCATCACAAAGCATATTATATAAGAGATGATAGCTTAATAACCAGCACAATGTTTTCTAGTTACCTTCCTTTCCCTTTCTACTTCCTGTCTTTTGTTGGATTGATTGGAGTTTTACTTTTTTTCCCCATTCTTCACCCTTTCTGTATGCAATTGGGAAACTATTAATCTTATTTCAATTGTTCTAGTAATTTCTTTTTAAAGTTTTAGCACACATATTTAAACGTTCAGTTTCTGTCAACATCTATCTAGTATTTAAAATACCTATAGGTACTGTCATGGGTGAATAGTGTCCCCCCAAAATATGGGTCAGATTGGCTAGGCCATAACTCCCAGTATTGTGTGGTTGTCCTCCATTTTGTGATCTGATGTATTTATGCTACATGCTGTAAATCCTAACCTCTATAATGTTAATGAGGTAGGATTAAGCAGTTATATTAATGAGGCAGGACTCAATCTACAGGATTAAGTTGTATCTGGAGTCAATCTCTTTTGAGACATAAAAAAGAGAAGTAAGCAGGGAGGAGGGGGACCTCATGCCACCAAGAAAGAAACACCAAGAGTGGAGTGCATCCTTTGGACCCAGGGTCCCTGCACTGAGAAGCTCCTAGACCAGGGGAAGATTGATGACAAGGACCTTCCACCCAGAACTCACGGAGAGAGAAAGCCTTTCCTTAGAGCTGGCACCCTGAATTCAGACTTCTAGCTTCCTAGACTGAGACAATAAATTTCTATTTGTTAAAGCCATCCACTTGTGGTACTTCTGTTGTAGCAGCACTAGATAACTAACAGGTACTATAGATACATTTATCTAGTGTCAGTATCTATAGCTTTCCAATAAACATGACAAAAACCCCTGACTTCTAGCATCTGTGTTGCTAGCAAGAAGACTAACATCCATCTGTTACTTATTTTTTCATAGGTAACTGGTTCCCTTTAGGAAGCTTTTGGGATGTCTCTTTATCCGTGGAGTCCTAAAATGCACTATGGGACATATCTAGATGTGGATGTTTTAAAGATAGTATCAATCCTGATTAGCATTTGGTAGCCCTGTTTAATTGGAAGCATCTTTTTCCCTTTTTTTTTTTTTTTTTAGCTCTAGGAAATTTTTTCACATTATTTCTTTCCTTATTTTCCTCTTTTATTCTCATTATTTTCTTCTTTAGGAAATTTTATTATACAGATTTCTTCTTCAAGTCTGTTAACTTTTCTTTCTCTCACAATCTCACCCCCCTTTGATTTTTCACAATCGTTAACTTTTAATTTCTAATCACTCTTGATTTTTTTCCATAGCAACATTCAAAAATTATTTAATGGACTTATGACTTCTCAAGCATTTATGCATGTTAATTTTACTCACTTTCAAGTTTTTCATTGAACTACTTACCCTTATTTTTAGGTGTTATTTTTCCTATTTATTGAGTTTTGCACTTCACTTTCATGAAGTTGATTTTCCTCAAAGTTTGATGATTCTTGGACAGGTACTCATATTTCTTATTGAGAATCCCTTTTCCTTTCTAGGTGGACATAATGTCTTGTCATAGGAGCTTCTCCTCTGTGATCACTGGGGAGGGATGGAGCAGGACATATGGCTTCTGGATATTATGGCTTCTGGTTCTCATTCTTCAGATAGTAGTGAGTTACCTGGGGCATTACCCTGATTTTCTGAACCCAGTGCTCCATTTGTGAAATGTCTTTGTTAGAACTCTCATTTTGATTTTTAATTTCACAGCAGGTTTTCTCTTGCACGTGTTTTAAACTTTGCCCTTTGTCTTAGTCATCTAGTGCTACTGTAACAGAAATCCCACAAGTGGATGACTTCCACAAACAGAAGTTTATTCTCTCACAGTCTAGTAGGCTACAAGTTCAAATTTAGGGCGTCAGCTCCAGGGGAAGGCTTTCTCCATCTGTCAGCTCTGGAGGAAGGCCCTTGTCATCATTCTTCCTCTGGATTAGGAGCTTCTCCATGCAGGGACCCTGGGTCCAAAGGATGCGCTCTTCTCCCAGCCCTGCTTTCTTGGTAGTATGAGGTCCACCGTCTCTCTGTTCGCTTCTCTCTATTATATCTCAAAAGAGATTGGCTCAAGACACAGTCCAATCTTGTAAATTGCATCCTGTCTCGTTAACGTAACTGCCGATAATCCTATCTCATCAACGTCATGGAGATAGGATTTACAACACATAGGAAAATCACATCAGATGACAAAATGGTGGACAATCACACAATACTGGGAATCATAGCCTAGACAAACTGATACACATATTTTTGGGGGACACAATTCAATCCATGACACTTTTCTTTCTCCATCATTCTGATCCCATCTGACTTGCATTTTCTAAGAATTCTCCAAATTTTCTGATCCATTAATAATATACTTTGTTGTTCTCCAGTGCTGTTATAAATTTATTACTTACAGGTTTTTTTTTTTCTTTCTTATTTTAAGGTGCTTGAGAGGGAGGGGAGGTAAACACTGTGTCCAATCCGCACTCTGGATTGTGTGTAGAAATGACAAGTTTATTTGTATCCTGTATTTGCATAAACAGTGTTTTTTTTTTTTATAACCATAGTATTCTTCATTTTTCATTTTAAATTGTCATTCCATTTTCAAGTGCACTGTTCTCTTCCCCACTACAGTATTGTCCCTTACCCATTTTACTTTGCAGCAGAGAAAAGTAATTTATCCAATGTATTCTTTTACCTGTGTGGAGCCATCCAACATGTATTTGACAACAGTGCCTTGACTGGTGATAACTCTCGATGCCTCCTGCTCCACTGGTGGCATCACTGCTTTATAGAACTCAGAGTGCTTCAGTCTTTGCGGGTAGCTCTGTCGGACCATGATGTCCCAAGAGGGTTCCTCAAGCCCAACATATTCATCTTAAATAAATAAAAATAAAGAAAGAAAGAAAGAAAGAAAGAAAGAAAGAAAGAAAAAGAAAGAAAGAAAGAAAGAAAGGACTGAGCAATGCTCTGGGGCTGGGGTTTTATCTTCTTGCTTTAATTATTTTCATTCTTTTGTCTGCGTATGGATAATAGGACCATTTCCATATCCTGGCAGATGGCCCAGAGTTCTGGTTCTTTGATGACTCATCACATTCAAATATAGTAAACAAAAGGCATCTACAAGCACATAATAGATGCCTTCTCCTTGAACAAGTCACTCTCTCTAATGAAGTTCAGGCCATCTTGGAGCAAAATTATGAAGGAAGCAGAATTTGCTGTCTTAATATTCCCTTACCTCCCCTTTGGTGCTTTTTGTGCACCTTTGAGTAATCCTTGCCCCTGGGTGCACAATGCTCCCCTGGTGTCTTCTAGTTGCTGAGAGCCCAGGGGAAGTCACTCACACTCAGGCTTACCGTTCCTAGACAGTTCATCGTCTTTCAAGTTAACATAACCCTCTCACCTCTAACCAAGATCCATACACCTCTGCTTTGAGCTGGCAATTAAGGAAAAAAGCACTTAATAAGCTCTTTCAAAAAGAAATAATTGAGAAGTTCTGGCACATAGTAGCTACTTAGTTTTTGCTAACTGAAAAATTTCTTCTTCTCAACTTATAAAGTGGTTGCTTGGAGCTATATATTCTTAATAAAAAAATAACTAACATGTAATGGTGGTATTTCACAGAGTATATCAGGCTGGTGGGAAAAATATTTTAGAATGAGGGCCCTTCATGGTACCCTTCAAATTACAAGAGTAATGATAATTATTAATGATAAAGTGATAAACATTTATTGAGATATTTCTGTATGCTAAATGCTTTATATATGTATCTTATTCAGTCTACCTCAGCAATCCTGTAAGGTAAACACTTTCACTTTCCAGAGTTTTCAGATGAAGAAGTGGAGGCTCGGAGGGGTTAGAACTTCCCCAAGATTACACAGCCAATATGTGGCAAAGCTGGGATTTGAACCCAGTCTCTATGTCTAACCATTACTTATACTGAAAAAACAACCACCACTATCACAACCAAAAAACTAACATTTGAATAATATGTTCTAGGTTAGAAAATATTTTCTTGCTTAATACCTACGACAGCCCTGTTTAGTAGATATTGTTATTTTATAAATGAACAAATTCAGGTGGACAGGAGTTATGACTTGTCCAAGGTCACCCAGGAAAGAACTCAATCTGGACTCTTTCTTTTTATACAAAGTGACTTTCTCTCCCCATGTCCAAGGCTGATCCTGATGAAGTTACTGCTTCTTTGGCAATTGTATTATAATTATGTTCAGATTTGAATTAGGATATCCTTAACATATAGAAGATTTAGAAAAGATTATGTGTCCCAGGCAGAGTTATTATTAACCACATTACCTATCCCGATAGAATGATGAAAATATAGGGTAGACAATGAAACTAATGGAAAAGGCAGGTGGAATAGGTCTTAAGCTGAGTTTTGGTAACAAGACCAAGAAAATAAACAAATAAACAAGCAAACAAATATATCCTTGGATGTGAAAACAATATCCCTCTCAGTATACTTATAGCATCTTAGACTTCATAAGATCTTAGTGACCATCTAGCACAGTGGGTCCCATCATGGAGAACCTGGACAACTAGGGATCCTTGTCACTAAAAACAGGGTTCCATAGTCTATTAATGGTATAGAAAGCCTAATGAAAAGCAAAATGAATCTGAGGTAAGACAACAAAGATTGACTCTAATATTTAGTTTCATTTCTTTTGGCTGGCAAGTAAATAAAGAAACTATTTTTTTTTTTTAAATATTTTATTGTACTTCAGGTGAAGGCATACAGAACAGATAGTTTCTCATGTAACAGTAACACACATGCTGTTTTATGAC